AAATCTCAGTACTGTTATTCAAAACAAAAGTTTTCATTATCTCAGATCTTAAAGGAAATACTGCTTTCAGCACTTTTAAAATACCCTAAAATTTGGGGACGGAAGGGAAAAAAGAGGAGCTAATACTAAGGACTCAAGTAGACAGAAACTGTTTTGAAATGATGATGGCAACATATGTACTAGTGTGCTTGATACACTTGATACATGGACTGTTTTATAAGAGCTGTAAGAGCCCCCAATAAAATGATTGATTAAAAAAACCCTTAAATTCTTACAGAAATTTTCACAACTTCTTTCCATTTGATGCTTATTGCTAAGAACGAAGAGTGGAAAAAAATTAAGTCACATTTCCAGTTAACTCACAATGCATTAACTTTCTTGTTGGTTGATCTATATCCTTCAGTATTTTTTAGGTAAATATTTTATATCTATAAATTTTTACTTTTCTTCCATGCTTAATTTTTGTTTTCAACTGATTTCCTCAAATAATAAAGCGGGTTTTGTTTGTTTTGCTGTTGTTTTTTATAAGCTCTAGTGTAGAATTTCCTCAAGTGTTACCTTTTTCTGAAAATGCTATTTTCTCTAAAAGCGTGCAAGTCATTCCAGATGCAAGATAAACCTCTGAAGACTGTGAATATTGTACTGTTCTTTAAAATATATAAATAAAAGCATAAGCACCAATGAGAGGCACAAAAGGTTAGCTAACTCAAAAAGTGAGCTGATAACAGTCCTCAGATGTTCCCTAGTAGCATGAACTATTTGTGGAAGACATTCTTTATATTTTTTCTAAAAATTAAATATCTTGATTGATTTTGTTGATTATAAGAGATATTTTGTTTACAAAAAAATCACCACAAAACATATCTTAAAAAGACAGTTCTATAATCCTTTCTACCTGTGCTTATTAATCATATATTTTCTGGACTTTCAATGCATATATAAACATTTACTTAAAATATGTACATTGACGGCTAAGCCCTCTCCACAAGGACCATTAAGCAGGCCTGAGCCTTGAGTTAAAAAAAAAATATGTACACTGTATAATATATGCTGTTTTATAATTTTTTAATCACCCAACCAATATGTTATAGAATATTTCTACAGTTTCCTTTAGTAACATAAGTATGGAAGCCCATTAGGCAACGATAGCATGATTTCACCAATGCCCTACTTATAAACATGAGGGCTGAACTCAATTTGCTTTTTTAATGTTACAATAAACATATCTATCCAATTACTGTCTTAGAAATTATGGATCAAAATGCAAGCACCATTTTATACTTTAAGCATATTGACAGACTACCTTCCAGGAAAATTCTATTAATACATTTCTACCAATTATGTACAGTAGTTACATCCCAGCAGACTGGGCATTTTCTTTCTTTTTCTTTTTAAAATCATTTTATTGGGGGCTCGTACAACTCTTATCACAATCCATACATCCATCCATTGAGTCATGCACATTTGTACATTTGTTGCGAGCATCATTCTCAAAACATTGTCTTTCTACTTGAGCCACTGGTATCAGCTCCTCATTTTCCCTCTCCCTCCCCGCCCCGCACTCCCTCCC